CTCCTCCTCCTCCTCCTCCCAGCTTACAATATATCAAATATGATTAAAAACCCAACAAAAAAACATAACAGCCCAGACAAAAGAACAACCATAAACATCAAAAACATGACAGAGGCTCCACAAATGCACTAACCTCAGGGCTAGGAACAGAGTTTTAATCAAAGATCAGAATTTCTTCCTGACTCAGTTACCTGATAAACTGAAATTGCTGAAAAGTGTGTGGTACAACCTGTACAGTAGCATTCTTCAACCTGGACAACATCTAAATAGGTTGACACTGCCAGCATTCCCCACCCAGCCTAGCCATAGATGAATTCTGGGAGCTGAAGTCCACCCAATCTAGAAGATCCCTAGATTAGAGAAGGCTGCTGTACAGATCATTCTGATAAGAATCATTACAAATATTATGGCCACAGAGGTAGCCCAGCTGCAGCTGGAGCAGACATTGTTTCTCCATTTCACCTTTCTGCTGATGAGATCCAGGAATGGGCAAGGAGGATGGCTAGTTGGGGGTGGCCTAAGAGCAGTAGTGTGGAAGCTGGCTGGTCAGGACTGAGTTTTCTTCAGAAATTCAAATGCTTCTGAATGAGGTCTTTTCCTTCCAGTCAAAGCTATGAAACACTCTGCTGTTTAGGGTTACATGACAGTGACTCTCCTTCCTTGATGTGCCTATAAGGAAATAAGGAACATGGAAATAATCCTGGAACTATGCCTACATCCTGACAGGCAGTTGCTGGCACTACTAGACCTTTTCCTCTATGCCTAATGGGTGGTTCATATGTCTTTTAGATTCATCTATTGTGATAAATGATTCTATAACTTTTAATTGGTCCAGAGTAGGGGAGAGAGACTGCATTTATCAATCCCTTTCTGGGTTCGCTTCAAAAGGCTCACTGCAATCCTTAAATCCTCACAGTCCCAGAGCAGTATACTTGAAGGCCAATTCTTCTTTATTATTGAGTTCACACAAAGTTCCAGAAAAGGCTATAGAAGAGTCCTTTTACAGCAAGCCTTTTCTCAATTTCATTCTCAGGCACATCTTGTTAGGATACCCTTTTACAATATGATTTGTATTTACAGGATTGTTGTATAATTTGATCGGGTGCCAACCGAACTTTCTCGATTGCAGCCCTACAATTTCGTAACATAAGAGCAGCACAAATCAGAAAGCCAGTCAAATCTTCCTAGTGGCTTTCTGATACATTTTGCCTGAAGAAAGAAGACCTTAAACAACGTACTGTATTGCACAATCTTTGCCTGCTGGGCAAAACAATTCCCGCTCCTGATTTTAAAAAGAAGGTTGGGGGTGGGTGGAAGAGCAAGCAGACATAGTATTAGGTATACCTGTATGGAAGGGAAAGTCCGGTTGGTATCAGTACTGTGTTCACCTGGAATACTGCCTGCTGATCTTCCTTCACATTTGTACCGAAAACGCATCCCTCTCTGTCTAGGTTGCTCACATATTTCAATATATGGCTCATGACCACCTTTAGAAGGAAAGAAAAAATACTGTATTTAAAATAGGTATAGATATGTACCTTAACCTGTCCTAAGAGATCAGTGTTGGGAGCAACCGTAGATGAAAAATGCGTCCATATCCCTTGAGTCATAATAAAAGTAAAACATAAAGAAAAAAAGGAAGGTAGGTTAACAGAAAGCATCATTTTAAAGCACTTTTGAAGAAATGTGAGATGTTTATTTGGATATTGATCACCAACGGGCACAAATAAATAATGAAAGGTTGAGAAAATGACACATTTTCAACATATTTAAAATAAAATACAACTTTTGTAAAATTAATATAAAATCAATTGACAATTAAATTTAATGAATAGAAATTATAGAATAGTTATAGAATTATAGAATATAGAATAGAAAATATAGAATAGAAATTAAAGAACAGAACAGAGGGACTGCCCAAAGATCCCTAGTTCCTAAAACTTGTATGTTATTGTTAATTACATGAGAGCTAGAAACTGGCTTTTAAAAGTGAAGATGAATCAGTTAATCTGGAAAGGAGACAAGAAAAATCATGTAAAACATTCACAGTTCCTTCTGATGTTAGTTTTTCAGTTTTAACCACCATGCCCACAAAACTTTCCATCTGGATTCTGTGGCAGAAAGGGCATTGTTATTGGAAAAAACTGAACTAAATTCTGCTGATTATTTTATGAGCTCAATTCAAGGTAAGTTACTCTGCTGTACAAAGCTGCAAAGGCTTAGGTCTAAGATATCAGAACAAACGCTTGTACTGTCCTTCTTGTTCTCTTAGAGCTCATCCATACAGCCTCCTTATTCTGGCTCTGAGACAGCCCACTTATCATTTCTTGAGAATATGTTGCCAGCCTACTGCTGAGACAGGCTGAAGGCAGATCAAGATGGTCAAACAGAAAAGAGATATTTTTTCTGGAAAACTAGAGAAAACCTATGTGAACATTCTACTGGGATGGGGGGATTGTCTTTGGAGGACCAACAATTTGCTGAGCTCCAATCGGCTCTTGACGACCACCCCATCCCATCTGGCTAGAGGACTCCATGCAGTGTTTCTCAACCCCAGCAACTTTAAGATGTGTGGACTTCAACTCCCAGAATGCCCTGGCTGGGGAATTCTGGGAGTTGAAGTCCACACATCTTAAAGTTGCTGAGGTTGAGAAACATTGACGCTGGGGAATTCTGGGAGTTGAAGTCCACACATCTTAAAGTTGCTGAGGTTGAGAAACATTGACGCTGGGGAATTCTGGGAGTTGAAGTCCACACATCTTAAAGTTGCTGAGGTTGAGAAACATTGACTCCATGTCTACATAGCCCTTTGTACTGTTGCTGCCAGCGGAACAGCTTGCTTGTGCAGCTATTCTTTTCTTTTTCTTTGGGGAGATTTGGCAGGAGAATATCGACCTTCTGGAAGACCAAATGTAGGTCTTCCACAAGGTCGATATTCCCATACTCAGTTGGTGGTGATGCTGCCAGGTGCTATGTTCCAGCAGAACTTAATTCCATCAGACATGAGGCAGGCACCCTGGATGCTTAGGGGGTTATGTGACAGGGACTTCTCCTTAAAGGCAGTCTTGTCTGCCAGATCCAAGGCTTCCCAGGAGCTCGCAGCTATGGTGGCTACAATAGTACCAAGGCAGCCTAGGAAATGGAAGAGGCAGAGTTGGAGACCTTGCACAGCAGAATGGAGGGAAAGAGGCATCAGGAGTTGGGAAGGGTATGAGCCTAGTTGCCACCATCCTGGAAGTCAATACGATTCCCATACTGCGTAGTTTGGATTTTGTTTTACTCTTTGTGTTTCCATTCCCTGCTCTTCAGCTCTGCTCATCCATTTCTGAAGCTTTCCCACAACCAGAACATAACAAACATTACATTCTGTACAGGCGTCAACATTACTAGCCTCCTTGCAAAGGCACTGTAAAAAGGTCACTGCAGGAGCAGTCATTTTCATGACATACTTTCCTCCCATCTTGAGGACAGAAGGAAAGCACATCAAAGAGGCTGTATGGATGAACCCTAGATCATTATCATGCCACATCTTGCAGGCCCCACCATGTATACATTTAGCATCAATAATCAATTTTGTTTTCAGGCTTTCAAGATAGATATTTGCCCTTTGAGATAGGCCAGGTCAGAAAACTTATATAAGGATTCCAGGAATGCTACTTTATTGTTATTGGGTATAATAACAGGATCTTGAAAGCCTGCCCCCTTCAATACCAAATAGAATCAAGGCAGAGTTATGCTGTTTCCTTCTCATTCTTCCCAATTTCCCAGGGCTGAACTGCCACTTCACCTCCCTTAACAGTTCCTTCACTCCAAAGTCATCTCTACATTCCTTTACTGAAAGTTTAGAAGGGTATTGTGAACGTATCTTTTCATTCACACCTTTTCGAGTTTTATTTCTTTCATGGATTTTATAATTGAATTATTTTATTATATTTTAGTAAGCACTCAGACCTCTTGGGGTTTAGTGGCACATAAATGTCTAAATAAATAAAGTTGCATGAAAACGAACTTTTTTATATCTACAACTAAAATATTGAACTTTTCAATAAGACAGGCTTATGGCTTTCATGCCAGGTGTGGCTTTCCAAAGTATTAGAAGTCCTCTATAGGATGAACTTCTGTAGAAGTATATGAACTTTGATCAGATTCAGCAGAGCTCTCTTTTTAAATTCTTAAATTCCATTTTCAAAAAGCAGATTCGTAGCAGTGGAATTATGACACTTTTTGCAAAATAATAATAATAATAATTTGGTTACATTTATTTGTTAAAAAAAATCGTTCAGGCTTAACCCTGAAAAAAATATTCTCAAAGCCAGAGATCAGATATGCAAGATCTATATGCACAGATTACATATTCATATACAGATTGCCTTTATTTTAGCACTAATTAAACACTGCCATCCCCAGTAACTGTCTGCAGGAGGAACAATTTCCTGACTAGAGAGAAAAAGAATTCCAAGTTAGCTTATGCATTATCTCAGGCTGAACTAAATGCTAATCTTTAATTATGTTTTCCTATTTTACTGGTAATATTAATCAACCAAATTGCTGTGGGGCCCTCTGAACTAGATTGTACTTGCCAGCTTCAGCCTACTTAAACCACCTTTGTACACTGAGCAGAATTCAGCACTAAATAACTAGCAGGAATAAAGGGGGAAACCCAGGTTTGATGGATCTCATACTGCTTTTTTCCTGAAACCTCAAAGGCCATCAACAAGAATCAGCCTTCAGTAGACTTAGAATTTTGTTCTACCAAACACATATCTGACATTGATTAATCATGGTTTATTGCAGAAGCCATAAATGTGGTTTATTGAATAAACCCAATTGACTGGTTTCAGGTTAAGCATGCAAACCACTTTATGGCTTAGCACACAAAAGCTCTGTCATACTGTCAATAGTGTACTCTGTCATATTCTCAATGTGCTCTTTCTTCGACGATTCTTAACATACTCCGGAATAAGTTGCAATTTAGAGCCCTTTATTACACAATAGATTTAGATACAGCATTCTCACAGTTCTATTATTTTCTCTCCACTCCTCTCCTAAGTCTTTCCTCTTCCTGTCTACTGCAAATTATTCTGGGACTTGTAGTACCATACTACAGTCAGTACCAAAATTGAGATTATTGTACAGCTGTTGTTTCCCTCTGTATGCATTTATGCATTAGAGCACTTGAGTTGTAATGATTATTATACTAAGGTATGGAGTCCAGGGTCAAGGAATTTTTTTGAAAGTCACTCTTAAAAGTGTCAATTTTTACATTGTCCTACCACTAAACTCTGTGAGGCAATGCTATTTCAGAGACTTTCTCTTCATTTTGAATTTGACCATTTGTAAATAGAAGATTAACTGGAAACATACATATGCATTCACTAGGAAATTAGAAACTTCCCCTAATTTCAAAAAATTTGAGGACCCCCTACAGCTTTCTTTCAGATATGAAGCTGAACATATGTTGTCTACTAGGAGATCATGGAACTCTAGTGCTTTAAATCACTCACTTACTTGAATACTTGAACAAGCAGATTCAGCATGAAGCTGTTTATTGAACAACTTTACAGGTCTGATTACATTTCTGGATGTCTTTTGCGACAGATTGCTAAGTAATGCCATAACCCCAAAATGGAAGTTGATACAGCTAAACGGCCAGGCTGTAATGAAACATGCTACGTAATGTTCCGTGTAAACACATTTATACTTATTTTACTGGAAGATTGAGATTAGCCTTTCAATATTAGGATTTATACATATAAAACTCTATATCAGAATGCACTAATATACATTTGAATAAATGAATACGTGGTTTACCCTAAAGTCCATTCATTATAATTTCCAGAAATATGAACTTAATCTACAATGTCTTAATCTCTTTCAGAAAAAAAAAAGTGTCAGCACTATCCCAATCCACCAAATAAAGAGTTTCTCCCCATGTCAGATTTGAAACCATGAGCAATAAAAAATAACAATTGAATGCATTGATATATTCATCCAAAAGATCAGAAGAAATCATGAACAAACCTGGAAAAATAAAATTCTAAGATAAAGTATGCAGACATTTAGTTCAATGGCAAAATATATGATTGGCCTGCCAAAGATTCTGGAATCTTCATTTAAAACTTTTGGAGATTTTGGAGAGCCACTGTCAGTCAAAATAGACAAAACTGAGTTAAATGGACAAACTGTTCGAGTTTAGTCAAAAGTAGTTTCTGATGATACCCAGCTGGTTAAAAAGAGTGGTCTTGTTTCCTAGACTTAGAAGATGCAACCACAGAACGGGAAGCAATGACCTCATTGATGCTTAGGGTACCTTATACGCAAACTTTATATTCAGTCTTGCATTAGTCATTTCAAAAACCCTCAGCAAGTGATCAAGTCAATCTAACAAGCAATCCGATCCTTCTCTGCAAGCTATTGAGCATAGAGAGAAATGGGTTGTCATGCCCACTTTGGGCTGTGCCCCCACCAAGTGTTGTCTTTCAGCTGC